TATATATATAAATACATTAAAATCATCTAATTTCAACCCCGAAACAAAAACTTTGTTGTGTTGTGATATCGACGGAGAAACCGGAGAAGTCATTGAATGTCCTAAATTGGAAAGGGGGCTTGAACCGGCAAGTTGTCATCCATAGAGAGAAACACTGGTTCGAAAGAAAGTTTGAAGGAGTCGCATACATTCTGAACAACAAATCTCATCAGCTAACTGAACCTCTTAATGTCCCTTCACACAGTCATAAACGAGTAGGTACAATTGGGGAAGTTTATTATTTTCGATTTTTTAGTAATCATGAATTGAACTTTTTGTAGAGAATTTATGCGTGAGAATTGTTTGTTGGCACTCTCAATGAAGACTGGCAACAGCATTGTAAACATCTTGTATATTTGTTCCAGTTGTGTCAGTTTGATTCCAGTAACTTTTTGGATCATGCAGAGCACTAAGAACAAACGTGGTTTCATTTGGGCAGATCGGTTGAAGACTTTCACAACTTGTTTTTAACGAGTTCTTCCTTTTTATAAGACCTGGTGGGAAGACAAAAATTCTATTTCGGGCGAAACGTTTTCCTACCTACGTGAACGCAATGAAGTCAAATATATTTAAATTTATTACTTCCAATTACCCATTCCAACTATTTATATAGTTCACCTGAAATAAATGAACATTTTATAAATAAATATAAATGTACGCACATTCACGATATTGATGACGTAATATACTCGTAAATATATAAATACCCGTATAATATGTCAATAAAAAATGAGTTCAAACTCGAAATATATTTTATCATATGCAAAGAACACTTCTCTCGAATAACCTAGTTCAAGCTTCACGAAAACTTGTTTTTCAACATCCTGCGAAAAAAGTTGTTCGTCAAGATAATTTAAAAAAAAATCAGATCATTATGACTTTCATTCCAAATAGCGGAGACATCGTCAATATATCTCGTTCTGGCAAATTTCAACGAAAGATTTTTCAAAATGTTTCATATGCACCGTCTGTTCAAAAAATTAGGTTAATTTTCATTTTTTTCCCAATCCTTAAAGCAGTTCTGATATGCTGCTTTTTGGTATGTCCTCGAGATCTCTCAGTGATTTGGTTTTTATGTCCTCAATCGTCGCAAAATGCCGTTCTTTGATGGGTCTCTTCAATCTTGGGAGCAGGGAAAAGTCGCATGGGGCCAAATCTGGTGAATACTGTGACCGAGGTATGATAACGCTGGTGTTTTTGGGCAAAAACTTACGAACAAGCACTGAGAAGTGAGCAGGTGCATTATCGTTATGCGAAAGACATGAATAAAGACAAAACTTCGGTGTCGCATAGATTAGGAATATATAATCTGACTTGTGGCTCTTGCCCAAAAATGTATATTGGGCAACCGGGGAGAACATTTTTTCAAAGAATTAAGGAACATAGAAGTAGTTTAGTAAATGGAAAGATCGATTCCACATTTGTAAACTACCTTTTAGCAGAAGAACATGAGTTTAATCATGAATATGACGTGTTACATTTAGAAGAGAAGAGTTTAAACCTCCAATCTTCTAGAATGTTTAGAAATCAATAGATTCAGGAATTCGGGTAATTTAACTGAATGATCAATTAGAATTGAATAACTCCCCTTTACTAAATATTTTTTCAAATGTGGAAACTGGAAAATAAGCTCAGGTAATTTAAGTCATTACAAACTCAGATAAAAATCAGGTACTTGAAATGTTAATAAAAAAGTCAATTTTATATATTTTAATTCACATGTAAAGTATATCCAATATATAAAACAATGTTAGTTGCACCATTTAAGAACGTTTTGACCGATTTTCATGATTTTTGTTTCGTTGAATTCGTCTTCACACGGAATAACAGATCAGTCACTTTTATGATTTTTGATTAGCTGAATTAGTTGATTAGTTGAAGCCTGGAGTAGCTGATTAAATTTTTTCGGGATAACATTTTGAGTTTGTCTCCGCCCGAAATCGCAAGGATTTTTTTATAATTTTTGATTTGTAGGATTTTTGTTCGCCTGTAATAGCAGAATAACTATGAAAAAATTGAGAAAAAAGAGAACAAATTTACGACGTTTGATTTGTTAGGTTATGACAATTGAGGTTATGACAGTCGTGATTGGGCGCGCATAGAAATTTTTTTGTCATAATATCTGAACCAAACTTCTTATAACGTTCTCAGGCAGCTGTTTCCAAATCGTGATTTTCTCAACACAAACTTAAAACTTAGACTATGCGAGTCACTGATCATGACAAAAATTTCTCATTGCGACGGTATTTACGGACCTGCTTTGAGACAATGGGATGATCTTCGACTACAGATTATTCAGAATAGCTGTCTACGTTTCTTGTTTGGTATTCGGTTAAAAGTTGAGAAACTCAGAACACTGCATCTATTCACCAACACACATGAAGTTTTGATATCTCGTCAACCAGATTACTTACTGAAGAAGCTTAGAACATTCTCAACAATTAAAAGTTCCATCACACGGAGCAGTTCAGTTTTAATCATCTCCAAACACACATCTTCCATCTTCACCCGCTGCTTCTCAACTAAATATCTGGGATTCCAGATAGATAACACTCTATCGTTTGATGAACATTTTGAGTATATTCATAAAAAAATTTCGAAGAAATTATTCTTTTTTTCTAGAATTGCCAATAATCTTTCAACGTCTGTAATTTGTATAATACTATTCATCTAATGTTCCTTATATATTTCAAATAATTATGCAATTTATCTTTCTACATGTTGCATTGAAATTTTTCGAACGTATAATGTTGTTGTTTTTGTAGTAATGTCTTAAAAAATATTTTATTGAACTTATGTTTGTCATACATTTAAGTCATTTCTTATGTAACACATACCTTGTTTTTTTTATTTCTACCATTCTAGTTGATTTGTATATTATTAGGATATCCTATTTAAATAAAGATCTATCTATCTATCTATCTATAATGCATCCAAACATTATAATCAACTACCCTGTGAGTTCAGATCTCAGAAAATTAAAAACTTCAATAAAAACTAATGACCAACTTAACTGTCTAGTCTCTTGTCCGTCTCCGATCTTGACAATACAAAAAGGAATTTTCTACAGAGCAGCGGTTGCATTGACTAGTTTCCTGTTTCACAGTATCACTGTTAACTCGACTTTTTTTGTTATTGTTATTCAGTTATTGCTGTACCCAGGTTGAGTTGAGAAACAACCATGGCTGATACTCCGCCTATTCACTTTTATAGTGATAGTTGTTTTTTTTCTTCTTTCTCTCTGTTTTAAATATACTTTTTATGGTATAATTATAATAAAATAGGTAAATTCAGCAATATCCAGACTGCGGAATATTGCGAATCAATCCACTGCAGGTGAAGAAATCGCATGAGAGAAGCACCCTCTACAGTGTTGCAAGATCTACGGTTTTTGCAGTAGATATTCTGTTTTGTTCTGATCTTTCATTGAATGTGTTCTTACATTTTCACGTAAATTGTGGAATACTTTTGGTTCTAACTATTTGTAACAGTTTTGTCGGATTGATTCGTTCATGAATGGAAGAAATCAAGTTATGTCTCTTTCTTATTTCGTTTTTAAAATGTTTCTTAAACTCTCAAGTGATTTTGATGCCTCCACCTAATTTAGGAGTGATGCCACTAAACTGGTAAAGGATTATTTCCAGCAGTTTTGTATCTAACTTGCCTAACTTTGAACAAAACGCATCAGAGCTTTTTTGGGTGAATAAAATTTAGATTATGTGACTTTGATTAAAGATTATTTTTTCAGTTATTCGACAAGCTTCGAAAAGAAAGACCTACCGACCTCCACAAAGTGCTGCCCATTGGTGGCGATATCACGCAGCCGGAGCTAGCGATAAGCGCCTCCGATCAGGCCCTTCTCATCCGTTCCGTGAACATAGTTTTCCACAGCGCAGCCACAGTCAAGTTCGATGAGAAGCTCAAATTATCAGTCACCATCAATATGCTCGGAACACAGAGATTGGTGGAGCTATGCAAGAGGATGGATCAACTAGAGGCACTGGTAAGATGACGTAACATACAGTCAAATGTTGTGAAGTCGATAATAAATTAATAGGGTCGTGTTAAAAAAAATTCCGATGTGTCAATTGGTACTATATAGTTGCAGAGTTTTTTTCGAGAAAACCTTTTTATACAGTGTCACGTAAAAGTGGCTGATAATGATGGATAATCTCCATCAATGGGGAATGTTCCCCCTGACGAAAATCAAGTAGTTTTCATAAAAGAGCTCTGAAACAACGTGAGACCCCTGCTCTAAATAATAATATGCATCTACAGAGACGTCGTACAGTGCTTACAGAAGTCATTGCTGCTGTAAAGCGTAGCGTAGAGAAAGACCCGAATTAGTCTAACCGCCATCGTACAGTCAATGGTGACCGACATAGACCCATGATTAATGACTTTTTCGTTCATCAATTGAACAACCATGATTGTGATTTCAACAAATTGATTTATTGAAGGAAACGCATTGTTTCACGTTTCAGACCCGTGAATTGGCCTCCAAGATCGTGCGATTTAACGCCGCTAGACTATTTTCTGTGGTGATATGTGAAGTCTACGCCAATAAGCCCTAAACGATTAACCACTTGGAGGACAACATTCGCCACGTTATTGCCGATATACGACCACAAATGTTGGAAAAAGTCATCGGAAGTTGGTTCTCTAGATTGGACTACGTCCGACCCAGCCGTGGTGATCATATACCGGAAGTTATATTAAATTATAATGCCGGAAAATTATCGAATAAAGTACATTTCATGTCAGTTTGAAAATACATCTTTGTTTTATTCCATTTCAGAGTTCTATATCTCTATAAAAAAACACCCTATACTTTCCTTAGGATGGAACAACGCCACTCACAAGAGGTGTAGTGTCAGCACAAACTCCGACAGATCTGGTTACTGATGTCTGGAACAGGAAAAAGTCGCTGGGGGCTAGATCCGGTGAATACGGTGGATGCAGGAGCAATTCGAATCCCAATTCATGCAATGTTGCCATGGTTTTCATTGATTTGTGACACGATGCATTGTCTTGATGAAACAGCACTTTCTTTTTCTTCGGATGGAACCGTTTTTCCACGATTTCGTTCTTCAAACGCTCCAATAAGTCTATGTTATAAGCGCTGTTGATGGTTTTTTCCTTTTTAAGATAGTCGATGAATATTATACCATGCGCATCCCAAAATGTTGATACCATAACCTTGCCTTTACTGTACATTCAAGAAATTATGGTCACGAATTTTAAGGGGCGCTAATGAGTCAGGACTAATTTATTTCATAAACTATATTGAGGCATTCGAAAGATCCGTTAACTATGTTTTTAACGTTTCGTTCTTAAACGTTTCGATCTAGGTGTAAGTTTTCTTTTTTGGTGATTCATTTTTACATCATACCGATAAAAAAATAAGCGAACTTAATTTTCAGGTGCACGTATCGACGGCATACGCCAACTGCGACAGGTACGAAGTTAAAGAAACTGTATACCCTCCATCCATAGGTCCGGATCAGGTGACTTCTCTGGTTGAGACGCTGAACGAAGATCTGGTGGATTCTCTGACGACGAAGTTGATAGGAAACAGACCTAATACTTATACATTCACGAAAGCTTTGGCGGAATGTTGGCTGAAAGAGAACAGGGAGAATCTACCCCTCGTCATAGTTAGGCCCAGCATTGTTTTGAGCAGCATCTTTGAACCTCTACAAGGATGGGTCGATAATTGGAACGGTCCAACTGGTAGGTAAAGCGGATGGAATTGTTTTGATATGATATGAGAACAGCAGACCAAAATTGCTGATATTCATGAAATTATTTGAATAGGAATCAATAAAACCAAAACAAGCACTGCTTCCAAATACCAGAACTGTATCATTATTCCCGACGCACGTTACTCACTAAGTTGGCATCGCCAACCAAACTTTCGAAAGTATCCAAGAGTCTTCTAGTGTCATGTACCGATATTAATAATGTCAGGCACTGTTCACTCATTTTATGGACATTCTCCATGGCTTGGGCGACGACACTAGACTTTTCTGGTTTTCGAAATTGGATAAGTGCTGCGTATTCTTTGAAACTAGTTCAATAGTTCGTTTAGTTTGACCAATATACTTTATGTCCTTACAGCTTATCTCATACAGTGCATTTCTTAATGTCCCTCCCTTTTATTTTTTGAACGGGTCAACTCAAAAAATTGAAATTTGGGATAATGAAATTAATGCATGAATACTTTATTTTGTAGTGAAATTGACAGATGATACTTTCAAGATGGCGACTGGGCGCCATCTTGAAAAAAAAATTAAATGGAAACGGGGGTATTGTGACACATCATTTTGAAGCTCCTGACGAATACTTCACAACCCCAGAATATGAAGTCAACATCTTCACCTACCTATTACAAAATGGCGGAACATTTAATAATTTCCTGAAGACAAACACATTAATATCGATATTTCTAGAAATATTCTTTTTTATCTACCATCTTCTTAACCATCTACTTAACAAACCTTATCTACAACCCGATAAGGTTTGTTATGTTATTTTTTGTTTATAAAAACGACAAAAAATGTCAGTACGACAATGAACATCATTGTTCAGTTAGAATATTCTCATTTAGTTTTCGGTTTTACTAGTAGAAAGGTACCTTTCAACAATCTCTAAAATAGTCAATTCTCGTCTATTGGAATAGAAAATTGAAGCGAGTTTTATTTACGGTGCGACGCGTAACGTTCACGAGACCGAAAGGATTTTCAATGAACGTTTTCCGAATCGTCCTATCTGTAGAAAATATTTGAGGGAACTTGTATCCAAATTCACAACTACCGGTAGTGTACATAATAAAAAGCCTCCAGGTCATCCGTCCATTCCACGTGCAAATAATTGGTTAGATGGTAGTAAATCCTGAACAGTCTACTTATTCCGTCGTGAGGAGTCTCCTTCTATTGTGTGGAGACTTGAGAATAGGAATAGTTATCATCCATACAAAATTGAAATGGTACACCAATTAACTGAAGATGACACTGATCGAAGAACAAAATTATGCGAAATCATGAAGGAAACCATTGCAAGGCATCCTACCAATCTCCACAATATTTGTTTTGATGACGAACGTACATTGTTTCAAACGGAAATGTTCACAGACAAAATTGCCGTTATTGGAGTGACACCAACCCTCACGTTTTCCGGAAAACACATACTCAATATCCAGAAAAAATTGGGCAGGAATATTGGGAAACCATATTGTAGGACCTCTGTTGATCAAAATTTAACAGGGAAACTGTATTTCAATATGTTGGAAACTACTGTTGACCCTCTCATCACTAATGTATTCGATTAGGATATTGTATACCAACAAGATGGAGCACCACCACATTACTCCAGACAAGTAAGAAACTATTTGGATACTACTTTTCCCGGTCGTTGGATTGTCCGTCGAGGTCCTACAGAATGGCCAGCCCGCTCGCCAGATTTGACACCTTCGGACTTTTTTATGGTGCTATTTAAAGCAAAAGGGCTACTAAACTGAACCTGCTTCGATATTGGATATACGGCAGAGAATAATAAATATTTATAGAGATATTGACGTTACTGTGCTCGGAAATGTTCGGCGTGAAATATCGGAAAGGCTGTTCATATATCAAGAAGTTCAAGGTAACCATTCCGAGCATCTTCTGAACTGACCTTAAGCTTATTACCTCATATTATGTAGTTTAATGTCAATGTATTCAGTTACTTTCCATTTATGTCTCTAGCGCTACCTAATAATTGTTGAAGTGAGCAAGCAGTTCTGAAGTTTACTTTCTACAGGTTTAGAATCCTACAGTGCCTAAAATATACAGTATACCGAACATTCACAAGTCTGGCAATTTGGTGTAACCAGTTGTCCCCGCCAAAGTTCCCCTACATACTAAATATCTATCGTGTTTAAGGGTGTTGATTCGAATGAATTCATGGAGAAATTATTGATATTGTTGGGGTGTTTTTCTATTTTCTTCGATACAATATGCTACTAATTGCAAGTGGACTGTATTACCAATACACGAAACCAAAGAATATTGCTTTGAAGTATATTGAACAATAACGACACTTGAAAAATTAAAGAACAGTGACGCAATTGTCCTGTTTTCGAAGCGAAGCACAGGATAACGTTCAACGGTGTACTTGAATATTTTTTATGATAAGTTCAATCAAATATAATGTTGAGAAATGGATAAATTTGATGTATCTTCCTTGTTTTCGAGTGTTCTAAGTGGAAAAATAATATAAGACCACATGCAACTAATAAAAATCTGCATGAAATTGCTTCCAGTTCAGCAACTGACGCCATTTGTAGGTAATCTATTTATGAACGGTAGAGAATTTTGTTTTCTATACATTGATGCTGTTAATTTTTTTCCAAATTTAAATGTTTTGCCTCTTTTCCACTTATTAATGGCTATTGCCTAGGCAACAGGCGGACCGCGGTCCGCAAACGGACCGCGATAGGTCGAACCTCGGACCGCCAAATATTGTAATGTAAATTATTACGTAGATAAGGTATACCATTCCTCTAATAATTAAAATAGTATTTTTGAGTGACTTATAAATCAATTTAGTACTTATTTTACTTCAATAAGTAGCCTAGTTGGCCTGTTTTACAAGTACCTACAACTAATATGGTTTGATTCGTTTTCTATCTAGCCTGTGTGGGTGTTTGTGCGAATTAGTTGATGTTGCGACAGAATGAACAGATGTGGCTGCCAAGTTGTTGATTCTGTCAAAGCCATCACTTCAAATAGAGATAATTGATTTGTGTCTCTGCAAATGTATACAGCGGTATTCACTGAAGAATTTTGGGTCAAACATGAAAATTGCAAGAAACTAGGTATAAATTTGGGCACTATGTTTGGCTCAACATACGCATGTGAAATATCTTTCTCAAAATTGAATTTTTTGAAAAACATATATCGGTCGAGATTAACAGACACCCACCTAAAAAACACACTTGACTTTGCTGTTCCTATCGAGAACCAAACTACAAAAAACTGACTCAAAAATTTTAGGTCTTGTGTTTTATGATTATCAATTTGGCCACTATGTTTGGCTGAACATACATATGTGAAACATCTTTCTCAAAGATGAATTTTTTGAAAAACATATATCGTTCGAGATTAACAGACACCCACCTAAAAAACACACTTGAATTTGCTGTTCCTATCGAGAACCAAACTACAAAAAACTGACTCAAAAATTTTAGGTCTTGTGTTTTATGATTTAGAATTTGATTTGAAACCAAAATAACACATATGTAGCACCTGATTATTATCCGTTGTTTTTTCTGGACCTAGTTAAAATTTTCCCACAGTATCCGGACCCCACCCAAAACTACTTGCCGATTCAGACAATGAATCTAAAATATAAATAAGAATGTTTATTAGCATAATCAAAATATAACCCAACCTAACCCAACATTCAATTACTAGTACTAATATTAAATTAACTAATATTTAATGAACGCACTTTGTTCGCTCCCAAGATTTTAGCCACGAAGATGAGCCCCGAAGTGGTCGACCTACAGTGATCACTCGATGATTTGAGGACCCTGTGTGTGACCATGGTTGCTCTATGATGGTCAGCGGCTAGTGTAATTCAATATAATTTTCTGCAACCAACTACCATCTTTTCAAGCACTCCGAAAACTTTCTTAGGACCAGGCGAAAACGGCTTCGGCGACTCCATGGAGTACCAAGCGTCCAATTTTTGTGCTGACGGAATTATTCAACTTGAGTTACGTTGGCAACAATGCACTGATTCAAATGGCGCGAATTTCGCTTAAATTGAATGAATATTCACTGCGATATTACAGCTTGAAACAGACTCATAAAAACTGAGAAAACTTTTCATATAATCTAATATCATGGGAAAGTTCTGATTAAGGATTTTACTCTTTTAAAGAGAACTTGGTCCTAACGATGAATTCGTGATTCACCGAGATTTATGACAGATCTAAATGTGATTCTTTTGGGCTCTGATTTTATCTGTGTGATAAACGATTCAATTTTCAGGTATAATAGCAGCTGCAGGAAAAGGTTTATTCAGGAGTATGCTGTGCGATTCGAACAAGAAAGCAGACATAGTACCGGTTGATATGGTTATCAACTTGATGATTGTATCTGCATGGCGGGTGGGGACGACCAAACCCAAAGATTTAATTATCTACAATTGCAGTACAGGTAAAGACAATATTAAAACTATCAAATAAATTTTATTCTCAAACATATGTCTCAATATAGAAATAAAGCCAGTAGACTGAATAATAATTGAAAAATATGTTATTATCTATGGGATGGCTTCCGTGGATTAAAATGAGTTTGGGTTTTTGTTGAACGTTTTATTGGTGTTGAATGAAACCAAGATAACACAAACATCAGTTTTCATAACAGACACACAAAAATGCTGCTGTTTTTTTAATAAAAACTTAACTGTCTCTTCTTCTTTTTCTTCTTCTTAATCTATCCACTACAATATAACACATTTTACCAATAGCCTAGAAGTGTTCATTTCCACATTATCTGCATAACAAAAAAACTCAACAAACCGGTTATAATTCAATGTCCAGCCCGAGAATGGTAGGTATTCTCGGGTCCAGCATGGAATTAACCAGAGTGTTTGGATGAAGCAATTGAAACTTTTGAATTTCAATGTTTTCATGAAACGACTAGATGATCGAAGAAGATGGAAGAAAAATAGATGATCATCAGTTTAAAAATTTAATTATCCTCACTAGGTACAACTTGTTAACCTCGTAAAGTTGTATTTGTTTATTTATCGGTCAAATAGATTGTACTTATTTATTATGTATATTCGGGTAAATGAACTTTATTATTAGCTTGTTTGGGTGAAATAAAGGCATGCATTTTCGCCGATTATTTTTTATTAAATTTTTACTTATGTTTGATTGATAATTGATGATGATAATTGATGATGAATGGTGAAAAAAATGGTATACGCTTTTCTTTATGAATACAATATATTAATGAACTGTCAATTTGGCTTTCAGAAGGCAAAAGGCACAAATGATGCAATCTTTTCCTTTCTTGAACATGTCTATACACATCTCAACAATGGTGAGGTCGTAGCTGCAGTATTCTGCGATTTCTCCCAAGCTTTTGATTGTGTAAATCATTAACTTCTTTTGCAAAAGTTGAACTACTATGGCTTTAGAGGAGTGTGTAATGACTGGTTCAGGTCTTACTTACAGTTAGTAAGATCAAACGAAAAACTATCACACACTAAGGATATCTTGCTGGGCGTTCCACAAGGATCAGTACTGGGCCCGATTCTTTTCCTTATTTATGTAACTGGCCTTGTTACTCTCTTAATTCAAGGAATTTTAACGATCTTTGCGGATGACACCACGCTCCTTTGGTATGGAAAAAATACTTCTAATATGAAAGAAACTATCTCTAGTGATTTAGAAGTTGTGAAAAGAACTACTTGTGCTTTAATATTAAAAAAAAACCTACTCACCTTCAGCTTTTATACTTGAATGGACAAATTCTTGAGAATAAAAACCAATCCAAATTCCTGGGAATTTTCATGGATAACAAATTAAACTTCGATCAACATATTTCAGCTTTGAATAAAAAATTTGCATCAGGATGTTATGCACTTCGAATAGTTTCAAATGAACTGAGTTCATCCACAACAAAAATGGTATATCATTTCCTGATTAAAGCATACTACAATCTAGATGAATATTACAATGGAACTTTGCTGTGATTTAATATAGGTGTTTTTTTTTTGTTTTTAACACCTGTATTTTGAATTATATTTTATACTGGGATATATCTTATTTTATTGCCATGACATGTGAACTTATGTTCAAATTATGTATATTTGTTATTTACATCTTTTGAAAGGGACTGTACATACTATTTTGTCTACAAACTTTGTTGCATTTTATTTTCTATTGTTATATTTTGTCCATTATATAGGTGAAGTTAGTTTTGCTCAAATTGTGTTTCTGGGTATTTGTGTTTTTGAAATATTTCTTTTCTTTCATTCTTTGAAGTGCTACATATATCCCAGATTTTTTAACAAGATTTGTCAATAATATTGTATTTTCTTCGACAATAAAGTATACGTCTATCTATCTATCCATAAATGACACCACCACAATATTCAATGCATGTTCAGTATAATCTAGAATTTTCATGAATAAACAATCATACACAGGACTTTTTCACTCACGGAAAGAGCCGTACTCGCCCAATCGCAACAGTGTCTCTCTGATTCATTCAAGCATCAGCGTTTGAATTGTTTCGTGAGGTTTGCTCTCAGCTTCAAAACTATGGAGGAAAAATATTTGTCTTGTATACGAGAATATCATCTAACTGGAATGAGAGAATGAGATATTTTAAATTAATGAAATTATTTTCAGGTCTAAGGAAACCCATAACATGGAAAAATTTTGTAAATAGTTGTTTCAAATATATGAGGAAACATCCGATTTCAGAAGTATCTTGGTATCCAGATGGCACAGTAACCGCTAGCAAAACCATCAATTTGATTAATAGATATTTATTACATTGGTTGCCTGCCTATATCATTGACTCCTTCGTATGGATTTCTGGAGGAAAACCAATGTAAGTCTTGCTACTTATTTATTTGATTATTCAAGAATGGAGCCCTCGAGAATATTGAATTTTTTACATATTTTTAAGGATGTTGAGGGTGCAAGACAAGTTGACGAAAGCGTCAGGGTGTCTAGAGTACTTCACGATGCAGGAATGGCAATTCGATGATGAAAATGTACGAAACTTAGTTACGACTCTGGATGAAAGTGACAAGAAAATGTTCTGCTTTGACGTTGCCAAAATAAACTGGGATAATTATATAGAGAACTACATTCTAGGAATTAGGAGGTATGTGTATATGTTATTCTGAAATTTATCTGTAAACCTACAACATCAAAACTGTGGGATTTTGTATAGCGAAACACGTGTCGCCCTCTCCTGCTGACAAGGCGACACTAACTTTTTTTTTCAAGTAGAAAGGGGGCGCTTGTGATGACTCGTTTGATAGGTAATTCAATTCTCTATCCAACATTAATTTACTTTTGAAAATCGGTCCAGCCGTTCCTCAGTAGTTAGCAGTTCTATATTAGTTTTAAGGTATCACAAACAAACCAAAAACATCATAATTTCAAGAAAAATTTCATTTTAAACTCACTTCTGTTTTTTTCAGTGAATTTTTAAATTGGTCACTATTCAAATTCCTGTCGATAATGAAGTTTGTGAACAAATTCACTATGGATTGTTTCTGGGGTAGTTTCGTTAGGGTAACCTCTTATTCTAACCATGAGCTCTGGAGTAGACTGAGGTTGTGTAACGTTAACTTAAGATTTCCTCACAAATATTTAAGGGTGTCATATCAGGTAATTCAGCTGGCCATTCTAAGGGAATGGATAATTGTAATCTAGCCACTTTCAAACCAGTTCGTCGTAATGAATAGGTACCTCATCTTGCTGAAACCTGGTACCGGAACTCATGAATAGTAAAAGAGGTGCTTACCCCAAGAACATTTCATAACTCAGAAGGAAAAAAGGAAAATTGTCAGGGAGGACGTGATGAATATTTTGGATATTTATTGGAATTAACTGCAGTGGATTTTGAATAATTTTTTCTTGAAATTATGGTATTCATATTAGGTTGTTTCAAAGGTTTTGTCCGATTTAGGATCATGTGTTTCAGTAGCTCCATATGTCAGTAAATATTTATTCTACTGTGTCGTTTTCTACACTAATTGATAGAGAATGTTATACTTCATACTTAATTTAATTTTGCGTCTTTTCAGCTTATTCGAAATGAATAGTCTGTTGCATAAAGGGTGACCCAAACAAAATAGTTAATGATTACAATAAATATTTGGTAGACATGGTACCTCAATTACTAGCAAATTCCTCAAATATTCCATTTCAATGTGATATCCCTGTAAATATGCAATCAATGTTCGTGAGACCCATAACCGTAGACGAAATCATAGAACTATCTAGAAAACTAAAAAATAAACATTCCAGTGGAGAAGATGAAATTCCTACTAGTGTTACGAAAAAAAGCTTGATTGCCATATAGCCTATATCATCAATAATTCACTGGCATATTCCCAACAGGATTAAAAACCTCCATTGTGAAGCTAATCTTTAAAGAAGGTGATCCAGAGAGACTGGAAAATTACCGACCAATATGCATCCCTCCCAGTTTTTCAAAATTATTCGAACTAGCAATGTCAGTGAAAATCACAGAGTTTATGAATCAATGTAACTTATTTAGTAGGCTTCAACATGGATACCTACTTACAGGGTAGGTCAACACAAACGGCCATAAATCAATTCACACAAAATATAACGAACATGATGGAAGAAAAATTGATAGCTGTCGGGGTGTTTTGGTCTGCCTGAATCATCAACTAATGTTGATAAAATTAGAAAGATATGGAATAGGAGGTTCAGCGCTAAAGTGGGTTGAATCCTACCTATCAGGTCTGTAGAAATAAAACGAAATGGAAGAGTTTATGAATCCGGAACCCTTTCCACAGATGTGGGAATTCCGCAGGGGAGCATTGCCGGCCCTCTTTTGTTCGTCATTTATTTGAACGACTAATGTGATCTAAACCCAAACCAACGTCTGTTCAAAACTATCTTTGCAGATGATACAAGTCTGTTATCAGGTGGTAAAACCTTCTCAGAGATTATGGTAAATAGTTCATATGTATTCAACAAAACTAAGGACTGGTTCAATAAAAATAAACTTGTACTAAATGAATCGAAGACACATATTGTTTTGTTTAGAACTAACCAAGACAACATTGATTATCCAGTTAGGGTGGACCTTCAAAACTCTTCTTTTGAACTGTTCCACAACACCAAAGCAATCGAAATATCGAAAAAATTTCATAGTTCAAAAAAGAATAATAAGAGGTATCAACGACTTAAATTATAGCCAAACTTGCAGAAAAGTATTGAAATCCACCAATATATTGACAATTATTATATGGCATCTGCTCATCAAAGTATTTATTTAAGGTTTTATCGTTTTTTTAATTAGAAATGCCACAATTACCCCATTTGATTAACAGATACCTAAGATTCGCCAATATATATGCATTGTAAACCAAGTATCTGTAACTAAAACTTAAGTAACTGAAACACCTATATATAGAGCTTCTAACATTGGTATAATTTTATCATTAATATGTTGTATTTGATGTATTCTAAAAACACTTTATTGTGTGATTTTCACTAGACAGTTTTACAAAAACACAACACGTGTTTCGCCATGCAATGGCTTCCTCGGGCGTGTCTTAATTAAGACACGTGTCACGTGAAACACGTGTTGCGTTTTTGTAAAACTGTCTAGTGAAAATCACACAATAAAGTGTTTTTAGAATACGTTAGTTATGGATATTAATCAAGTATCGGCCGATTCCATCATATATGTTGTATGTGATCTGACCAGTTCAACTTATCATCTATTATGAGTCCCAAATATTTGAAGATTTCGAGATTCCATTTCGAAATATTTATTTTCTTATGTTCATTCACTTTTGTTACCGGATTTGAAAAGAAACACATGCAATTTTACAGTTACTACTAGGGGAGATACCAGATTCGAATGATTTGTTGATTATTTCCTTCATAAATTGGGGCCCATTCTGATCTCACGTATTTTGTTTTCAGATTTATATTCAAAGAAGATAACGCCTCTTTACCGAAAGCCCGACAACAAATTTCAAGACTCTACTGGGTGTACAGAATATTGCAGGTGATATCAGTATTGTGTATGTGGCATTTTTTGACTCTGAGGAATGCTCCTCTAAGAAATCTGTGGAGAAGCGCACTACAACTCCTGGTTCATTTAGCAAGGATGCTGCCATTTGTATAATCCAGAACTAGTTAGTTGAAGTTTTGCTATCCTCTTCTACCAAAAATGTATCTGCTGTGACCAAAAATCGGAAAGAAAGCGAAATTATTGAGTCGTAATTAATTGAGAGTGTGTTAGGGGGAACAGAGTAAGATATTTTGATGAAGTTACCTGCAGTTAGGTATCGAATTTGAAAAACTCGAGCCAACTTTGTCGATAGGTATAATAATGTAAAGAGTTCTCCATGAAATCTATTTATTTATCATCTATTTATTTAACTATTTATTGGATTTATCATACTTCGTTAACTTTGTTGGAAAAATAATATATTGAAATTATATGCGGTAGTGCTTCCATTTGATGCTTCCCGAATATCTACAGTTGACGCACAAGTCGTTAGTTTGATATAATTTCGCATTTCACAATTCGTTATTAATCACCAAGTGTTCCACATGTATTGACTATTCGAAACTGAAATATAATGTGATATCTTACAAAACACAGTAAAAATTGTCTGTGTAACATTCTTAATGAAAAAGCGGCCCGAATAGTTTGTTAAATTACTTCCCTACATCTACCTTTGATTGATTCAATTCCATGGGAATTGAATAGAAATCAGACATGCTTCTTAAAAGAACGAGGTTTTTAGATATAAAGGGTGGTCTCAGAAGTATCCGATCCAACAAAGAAAACACAAATATTTTGGAAAAACAACTCGCGCCATCTTTAGGCCAGGCGGAGTACTTCTGGGACCACCCTCATAAGTAGTTAAACAACAAACTGATATTCAAATTAGGTTGAAACTTATACAGTGCTGTCTAGAAGTTTTTGGTCACAGTAAGTTTTGTTAAAGTATCCTTTATTGTGAAGAATAAAAGGAGAGCATCACTTTTTGATTATTCTAATATTTGTCATGTTGTTGAAAATGCTTTGTTTCTCAAACTTAATTTATGACTTAAATGTATTTTAATGTAGATTTCTTTCCATTAAAAATGAAAAAAAATCGCTCCATTCCAGTTTTTCTAAGCCTGAAGATGGTTTCTAATGAAGAATTAATAGAGGTGCAATCTGCACTGCTATTAGTATGCATTTTTCCTGTGAAAATATAGTAGTTTTGCCGAATATAACAGTGCATAATGGAAAAAACCTCAAGTACTCAACTTGATTTATAGGCTATAGTTATATAGACACGACGCTTCGTTGGAAACAAAGCCCCACTTGACCAGGAACAATTACAAAAAGCTGAGATATATAAAAATATATTTATATTTATTGCAGCTTCTAGTTCTGAACCAGTTTCTAGGTGTCTACGTATCCACAATAAATATAGGTTTCAAGAGTTTATTTTCTACTCAATATAAAGAAAAACTACTATATTCTTCTACAAGGATTTTATTCCAGCTTTTTCAACATTATATTTTACATTTTACCAAATATACTAGTCCTTTAATCANTAAGTTGGAGCGAACAACAAAATGTCACGCCATCTCGTGAACGAGGTACTAACCAACTGCATATCTAAAATTTGCCCGATTCCTCTGAATAAGGAAGAAAAACTTCAGTCTCGGATATACCTACACAGTAGGTTGAATGGACTGACGCCTATCAGAAAACAACTACTCTCTTGGCTAATACCACGAAGGGCGTTGGATTATATCGGACAAGCGTCAGTGCCCTAATCATGCCTCAGCCGCCGTATTCACCAGATTTGCTCCCTGCTACTTTTTTGTGTTCCCAAGATTGAAGAGACTCACGAAAGGACGGCGTTTTGTGACGATTGAGATAAAAAAGGAATCGCTTTGAGGATTGGAAAAAAGCCCAAGTGTTTTATATCTGAAAGAGACTACACTTTGAAGGGTACAAAATAGATGAATTTTTTGAGAAAAATGAAAATTCACATTATTTTTTAAGAGACATCGTAGATGGGTCTGTTGTTTTATTCCCGAGTCTTCGAGAATGTAATTACTTGTATAGAGGTAGATCTGAAACATGTGAATCGTAATAAGTCGTTACAGGGAATTGTAACAAAATTGTTATTGCCAAAATCCAGTTGACAGACTAATGCTACAGGAACAGGAACATAAAAATTAAAACTGTACATATATTATCAATATATTCATATCAATATTACTACATCTTTGTCCATAAAATTAGTTACATTATCACTTGGAGTGACTTCAATGATCGGGCTGTCTCATTTTACATAAATTTTGTAGAGGCAACATAACTATCTCATTTTTAATTTTCACTACTCCCTCGTGTATGTCGATTGAAAGTAGTTCCCCAGTTTGTTCGCGTTCCTCACCAATAATAACCTAAAACAAGATAAAATAAAAAATTACAACAATAATAAATATTAACTTTTTGGCAGAAAAGCCTCCGTTTATAAATACTTAAATTGAAAATGGTCTGAGAAACTCCCTTGTTCAACGGATAAATTGATTGGATATAATTTTGTTACATACCTTAAACTGGTCTCCCCTTTGAGGTCTCACAGGGTCCAAATGATCAGACATAATATTCACCACACGATCCTCGGCTGGAAGGAAAACTGTACACATTGCCCCTGATATACTCCTTATGACTCCAGTCTGACCAACAAGACCCGGATCGTCATGGCTGTCACGAATTCGAACCTTTAATGGTAAGACAAAACAATCATTTACATTATCTACAGAAGCTATCACACATTTGTTGTACATAATACACAAATATTAATAAGATCTGTAGTAATAGTTTTCTATGAAACGCTGTTTTACTTTTTATTGTCACAAATATTCATTCCTCAATTTATTAAACTAACAATGTATTTGTTTGAATTTAATTGATTCATGCATTTGTTGGACACATTGAAACGATTGTTCGCAAAATTTTTTCTATTTTAAAAGTCAGACTAATGAAATAACTTGAAGCTTTTATTGTTTACGATGAAAAATATAGTTTCCGAGTATTGGAAAATGGAACGCCAATTTACTATATATTATGCTGAAAAATAATATAGTTCAACATATAGTTCAACTCAGCAATGAACAAACATTTTTATTCAACAGTCAATGGAATGTATTATTCGAGTAAATTCAACAAACGTTTCAATTCCTCACATAATTTTGACCTTTGAATAAAATGTTAGTTATTTATATGACTGTTGAATTATAATGAAATTTTAAATTCACTTTCTAAAAGTAAGTTTGGGAATAAAATTTCAATGAATATATTTGAATGACTGTCAAAGTTTTCCCATGAAACATTGTTGGTGATAAAAATAAACTTTCGTTTGTCTGAAAATATAGCAAATTAACTTTCCATAGTAAATATTTTTCTATGAATAATAAAGATTGTTATATTTCAATTTTATTGAAAGTGTTGAATATTTCCAACATTCACTTTAATGCATTCAATTTAAATTTTGGTACAACTTTTGTGCAAAACATTCTCAAGCAAGTATCATTTTATTTCATCAATCTTTTTAAAAAG